AAACATTAGCATTCCCAGCTAGGAATAATCCTAACTTAGCGGAAATTGCCGAACAAATTAAATGATTAGCTCATTTGACTCTTCCGACTAACAACGTCGGTCGTCAAGTCACCTCTTACTTAGGTAGCTAATCATCAGCGGTCCTAAACGAGTCCAAATCGCTTATACTGCCTCTAGCTTCCTCACTTCGAGATCTCAGCGCAAAGCTTCTCTCGTAAGTGTTTCCAGTCAACAATGATATAACAACGATCAAATTAATTCGTATAAAGTACATAGACATGCATATTGAAGATAACACTCATTTTCGGAAACATAACACATGTTTACCAAAATTGCACAGTATCATCATTCTATAATCTGGTTTAACTTGCAACATATAAGTCATATAAGCATGATTCCTGAATGATACGAATCCTAAAAACATGCGGTACAATTTTTCATTTGGATCACAAGTGCGTACAAGGTCATGCAGATCACGTCGTCATGCAGAATAAAGGTGAAAACTTATTTTCGAAACATAACATTAGTTTGCAAAAAATGGCACTTGAGCAACATCATTGAATCAGGTATATCTTGCAGCACATAAACGGAATAAGCATGATTCTAGATACATATAAATCCTAAAATATGTAGCTATAAAACTTATGAAGAACCTGAAGACAAATAAGGTCATTCACATGGAGATAAATCAACCAACATTCATCACAGAAAAACAGTAAAAAACTGAGAACATGTCACTGACCAGACATCAGCAAATTACCAATAACTGGAGCTACAGACATGATTTTAATGAGATTCAAAAACCTACAGAAAGATAACTCAATTATCTACCAGTTTGCTGAAGATCACCTTGGCAAATAATAACATTAGCAATAAGTTTTAACACGAAACATTCAGATCATGAAAAATGTCAGAATTTATGTGAACACACTTACAACACCTCAGTAAATCATCAAAATCTTGAGCTACAAAATTCCAAATGACATGATTACAAGACCAACAGGAAACTAAGGAGTCATGCTACAGCTTTCATAAAGACATGTTTGCATATGAGCACATTCAGGCACCGAAAACAGACCAAAAATTTTGTACGACATGTTGTTGGGTTTTCAGAAAACTGTTTGCACAATCTTTTTGTAAAAACCATATCTCCCTCAATTTAGATCGGATTTATAAAATTTCAAAACTCGTGAAAACACAAGATACATGCTATATTTCTCAAAAAGCATTCAACTCCAACAAAAACCACAATCTTGGAAGAATACTAGTCATGATACAAAGGCACGAAAGACAATGAATTTTCATGATATTAAACACATCGAGACTTAATCAAATTTAAATGATCATAAGCATCTTAAACCAATCCATTAGGCATAAATATCAGCAAATAATCCACACATATTCGTACCTTAACCCAACAGCGTGCCTTACATTCACGGCACAGAATGTTCACACGGTGTCTGATCGGTCTACTCGTTCCTTGGACAATATCGTAGTCTTCTATATCAGCCTTCATGACTTCCGCTCGGCTTAATGCACGAGATTAACCACTATCGTTTCTCCCGAGGTATAAACATCCTCGAGATCGTGACAGTGATGCGCATTTCGATTTTCCCCTAACTATGGGGTCGATCATCGATCTAGACGTGGCACCTAAACGCCACTCCCGGTCCAGATTGACTGGGTATAAATCTCCGGGTAATCGCTTTCAATAAGGACTTACTCAGTTCTCAACCTTTCTCTTGCGAGATAGATCACAAATGGTCCTACTCAGAGGACACTGAACGAAAACATGTAGCGAGAATACTGCTATAGACGCTCAACTAAATCATAAATTGGAAACTCACAACAAAGAGCTTCTAGAGATACAACTGAACTCCCTACCACTAGAGTTCGATATATAATCAAAGGTGGATAAAACCTAACCCCAAATATGAGCAATAAATATCTCAAGTATTCAACGATACTTATAGAAGAACATACCCTTAAGCAGTGCGGCATGACGAAGACGAGTGGTCAAACACAAGATCAATTAACATAATCACTTAATCACATATAAACCAGTCTACAGAAACGCAGACTGGCTCTGATACCAAACTGTAACGCCCCAAGGATTTTTAAAGACAATTCCGGACTTATCCAAAAAATCTTGTTTTAAAATTTCGAAACCATTTATCGATTTATAAAACATTTGGCGCTACTTGAGAATTTTCCAAGGTTAATCACATAATCAGCATAAAGGAAACGAGAATATTCAACATAATTCAAGTTCCAAGACTAGATTTCAACATATCTAGCAATAGGATTGTCAACATAATCCAAACTGATAAAATTATTCCACATGGTTCAACAGTTCAACCAATCCCAAAAAGCAATAAGGATGAATAAACAAGTCTGGTAATCCCAACATAAATAACAAAGCATGCGGAAGCAAATATAAGCATTAATAATGATTGACCATCCACTCGTCTTTAGTCTCGTCATGCCCAACACGTGCTTAACCTCATCAATGAAGAGCAGGTGGGGATGAGCACAAATATAAACGAGGTGCTCACCACTATGCATAATATATTGGTAAGAAACCTACACTAGAGTCATATGCAAGTACATGGCCAAAAGACATAACACACCACTCTCCTACTCATCACTATACTCATGTGCACACCTATCAAAAGCCGCCAGGGGTAAGCCCAAACTCGTCAGCGGGAGTACAGTTGTGCCGAGGTTCAACATCAACGGTCACGGCCCATCAACTAGGCTAAAATGAGTCTACCTATCACAAGGTTGGAGATCGCCCACCACTAGGCACCGTCTCATGACTCACACATACATTCATAGAACACAAGGTATAAAAATCTTACCTCAAATATAGCATAGCAAATTTTAAATTAAAACCCACCTGGATACCGGAATATAGCCAACACAAGCAGTTGAAGGAATAACGGCGAAAGTTCAGCTCGATGAACCTACACCAATTATGATAGTCCTATCAACAGACTATTCAATACAACACAACACACAAGCAACACACAAGCAACACATAATTAGCCGAAACCATATCGACTAAGTGACTCGTGGATTCCTTGACCGAGTTAAGTACTTTGGAGTGACTACTAGACCTGAACACAACTCAAATATCTCAGATGATACACATAAATCATGCCAACATCAATAAAATCCAACCCGAACCTAAACAACGAACAACCGAGCATTAAGACACCAAAATAGACAAAATTCAGAATCTGGAGTTAGACTCAGCCAATCAACCTGAAACTTTACCATATCACAGGGTATATAAAATCACATAACGTCACCAAGTTTCAGCTCAAAAGTCATTTGGGAGCATTTTTAAATATTTAAAACAAAACAGTGCAAAAATCCGACGTTTAATAGTTCATATAGCTACACTTCGAATTTTTTCCAAAATTTGGACACAACACATAATAACTCAAAAAAACATACTCCTCAAGGTTTCAGCTCAAAACTCCAAGTGTACGATTTTTAATGAATTTTACAAGATTCTGACCAGAAACCGATTTATATAATTAAAAAAGTTACAGATGGAGTTTCGACTTGAAAATTTTACACGACTTACAAAATTATCACAGCAGATCACATATAAAATTTCACAGCATTCGGACAATCACACGATTTATCATGAATTAATTACGATTCAGCAGCACGCTCGGTTTGTAAAAATCATAACTCGCAGTATATACATCGAAACGACTCCAAACTTGAACTAACAGCTCAAGGACGACTCCAACTACTTAGAACTCTAGGAATTCCACGAATAATACTAATTGAAACTCAGTTCGACGATAAACCAAAGTGACGGCAATCACCTTGATATCCAAAACACATATAAATTCAATATACGGCACAATAACATATCCAAGGCACGTAATCAACTGGTAGTCCACACGATCAGCACATTGACATGCAATCAATCACAATAACACAATCATGAAATTAAACGAGACGAGGTTTGAGCCTAGGTACCGCTCTCGGGAATCGATTGAAAAACGAAACGAGGGAGGTCGTCGAGGGTGCACAACGGGGCTCGACGGCTCACGCTCGGCTCGCTGGTGGTTGATGGAGACGATCGCGTGACGACGAGTGACTTCACGCGAGGGCAGCAAGGCAGCAGTCGGTGGTGGAGGTTGATGGCGGCGTTAATGGCGGCTCGGCGTCCTGAACTCGTCGGCTTCATTTAACACTCCGACG